GAAAGTTGTTATACTTTTATCGACAACCTTGACCATCTCCTTCTTCAATCTTCCAACTGAAGTTTCGTCGCTACACAAGACATGGTTCTCTGAACCAATCAATTCACTTCACATATCTATATTAGTCGGGCTCGATTCTTTATGACCACTAAGGTCTGAACAAAAATCATTTTCTTAGTCATCACCGAAACGAAGGTGACATACTCGAACAAAAACGGAATCAATTTAATGTTTCTTGGTAACCTTGTGACTTTCATTAGCCAAGTGTCAGTCTTGTGCTTCCAATAGTATAGGACTATACTACTATTCACACCTGCTCATACTCGTTCCAAGTATTTCCTCGCAGTTACCAAGTCACCATTCAAAGGTTTTCCCAAAATAACTTTTCACACCTGAGTGTGTTCAAACAATTACATACAACAATTTCTCCTAGACTCAGCTAGGAATTTCACATTTCTATCAAACATATCTTGGATTTCTTAAATTCAGTTTCTAGAATTCTTTTTATGTATATACTCGATCTAGCATATCCTAATACTTTTCCTAGATCGATAGGAATTTCACTTCCAAATTCTTCATATAAATTCTTCCTTGGGTAGTGTCTACTCTGCAAGACACACTACGCAAAAATTTATTCAAGCAGCGTGGAGACATATGATTTCCAACTACCTTTATCATCTTCTTACTCATGCAAGTCATCATCAATATTTTTTTTTATTTCATTAGCCTTCTATGACACGTCATTCCTATATATGAGTAAGTCTTCTTCTCATGTTTGTATCTTTTAAGTGTTCTTCGTAGGTTTCTTGTCACACCCCTGAACCGTCAGAAAAACAACAGCGGAAACGTCAGGGGGCGGGTGACATCATGCGTAGTATCACAAAAATCGTATCATAGCAATCAAAGTAAACACAGCCATTACATTACAATATGCATATTTACATCTATTTGGAAACATAGTGTATATACATTATTTAAACAAAAGATAAAGACAAGACTCCAAAAATGTTCTGTCTTCTCCAAAAGCTGGCAAGGTACCTGTCTATCATTGCCCTGAGAATAAAAGTGGTTTTGAAAACATATTAGCATAAAGTTGGCGAGTCACCGAGTTTGTACAATTGGTTTCTTTTTATTATAAGTAAAATGTTGTTTGTATCGAAAAACCATTGTTATCAAGTTTTGAAGTATGTATGCATGCTCTCCAAGAAAATCCAATATTTTCTAACATGTTTGTTGGTTTCTGTATGAAAAGTATGTTCCGTTTGAAAACCTTGGCTACCACCAGTATGTAGAGTATGATCTGTTTGAAAACCCTTGTTACCACCAGTATGTAGTGTAAGTTCTGTTCGAAAACCCTGGCTATCACCAGTATGTATAGTATTTTTATTATTTAAAATAAAACCAAAGGTTGTGTCCCTGGAATACCCTTCAGTAAGTAGCTATGTAGTTTTATTAATTAAAATAAAATTATAGAAGAAAGAAATCCCGTAAACAAAGGTTAGTTTATATTTATTGTGAGTCGTATAACCATACTAATATGACCGGTGATCCCCTTGATGTTTCTTCAGGCGTCGTACGATTACAAAATTTGTCACCCGAGGCGTGCCCGCCTAACTATAGCTAACAGTTCAGGTGTGGGATTGTCGGTCCCGAATAGATCTATTCACAAATTTCATGCTCTCCCTCCAGGAGACTCTAGTTATACTACCGAAGAGGATTTATTGGTATCCCGAGGGGCATAATGAAGATAGGTCTCACAATCCTGTATTAACTAGTTTATGTGTTGTTTAGTTGTTCTCAACTTCAAAATCGTTTGCAATGGTGTAGAGTATAAATGATTATACACAAAATAATATTTAGCAAGATACTCTAGTTTTCTATATGTAGTAATGGATAAATGAATTCCGACATAGTTTATGTGTTTGACTTTGTACGTAGTTTGAATCCATAAGACTGGTAATGAAACCCCCAAAGTATACCTATTATAGTTTGATTGGTTTGTTACGTTCATGTACTGTTTTGAAAAATATGCAATTATGATTAGAAAACGTCTTTTATGCTCCGCATACTACAAAAGGGATAAAGTATCTAATTGTTTGATAGAAAAACCGTTGTAATTGCATCAGTTTTTTTTAAGTTGTGAAAACCTTTGTGTGTTGCTTGTATTCCTCCCTGAAAACATGAAAAATTCAGAGAAAGTATTGGGGTATGAACTCACAGTTTAACGTAGTATTCGAGTGTAGTATCGATATGAGTGCTGAGTATCAACTAATGTTTCGTACGCAAGTGAATCCTATTAACATATGGTAACACATATACGTATTAAATTAGGGTATTTCATGACTAAACATGATGAGAAACCACTGTAAGGTCTTGGAAATGCTTGTACTAAGTGTTCTAGGTGCCACACTTAGTGGTTTTGCAAGTTTAAGGCCAAATATGAGCATTAAAGTGGGTGTAAGTCCATAAAGATGGGTGTGCGGCCGTACAAAGTGTGTGTGCGGCCAGAGTGTGTGGTCAGGGTGTGTGTGCGGTTGTATAGAATCCAAGAATCGAGTTAGAATATTAATCAGAGTAAGTAATCAGAAATTGTATGAAAGATTGAACGCTGATGTAAATAAGATCGTGATTCAGCTCAATATTACGCTTTAGGTTTATAGAGTTCAAAACTAGACAAGACTGTAAAACCTTATCTAACTCTAGTAAAGACTCCTATTTATAGGAGAGTAAAAGCCAACAAAAAATATACTAAGGACTAGGCATCAGAGGTTCGTATAAAATGCGTTAGTAAAATAGATATCAAAACATACGAAGAGTACGTACAAGACTTCGACTCTTTACAACCAAACTACCCTTACATTCTCCCCCTTTGTAAACAAGGTTGAATACTTCAGTTTGTAAGAAGTTGAATGGAGTACAACATTACTCTTCGTATCTCAGTATACCAAGAGATAATCTTCTTAAGTTCCTTCTTGTCACCTTCATTATTCTTCTTGCAATGGTTCATATGAACAATTAAGTTTGTATATTGCTAAGTAGAATATCTTTCAACTTCACTTTCCTGGAACAAAAATCTCTTCAACTTTCCTGACTTGTCCTTCCTAAAGAAGACTAAGCCAAAAGGATTCAAGCATATTTCATCATCTGCATATTTCTTTAAGTCTGCTTGATTCTTCGAAGGAGCCATTGGTGCTGTAATTTCCAAACCTTTTGCTGTAGCCAACTCCACATCTGTCATTACTAGACATTCATAATAATTTTCAATAAAAGTTTTGATGTGAGTAACTCCCAACTTGTATTCGCCAGGCTCAGTGTTTTGAAGATATGAAAATGGTCTTTCCAATCAGCAGTAATGCAACTTGTATAAGATCATACAAGTTCATCAAAGGAAAGTCTGCTATTGTAAACTCGAACACATTGCCATTTGCCCTGGTCACAATATACTTCCTGTTTTGGACTGTGTTTTCGAAGACCACATCCTTCTTTATACTGATGACCTTCTTGATCTTGACTAAGGACCACACTTCTTCTGCATGCTTGGCATGAACCGCATGAAATCGTATCTTCATGTGTGTGCCTTCATCATTCTCCTTGAATTTACTTTCAGCTTTGAACTGAGGCATGATGAACATCATTCCGTTAATTGGAAAGTCCAATTGGCTTGCATCCATATTCGTGACAATATAACTCTGTTTAGGCTTCTTCTCAAATGAATACATGTGATTGAATGCAACCTTGGCTTCAATTGTTTCATAGTTGTAGTTCTTCGATGGATCACCCTTGTTCATGCTAGGAGGATCACTGGACCTTTGGGTCATGATGCTTTGTATCATCCTCATCTTCTCTACTTCTACTTCAGCCTCTGCCTTCTTTTCATATTTAGATTTTTCAATTAACATTGACTTTCCCCTTGCCTTCGATCCTGATTCCTCTATCACTTCTCTTCTACCAGTATCAATAGATTTACCAATCACAATACCTTTCGAAATTGGTCTTGTAATTGGCACAGTTGTGACAATTGTAGAAGTGATAGGACCAGCAGTTGCTATCATTGGTTTTGAAGTTGTAATTTTGGAAGGAAACACCTTTCCCACAACCTTCGAATCCTCACCACTAGCCTTCGTACCTTCAACTTTCTTTTCTCCCCCTTGCACCCCTGTGCTAGCAGGTGGGGCATCCATGGTAGGAAGAAGGATTGATATTCTGGAAAGAGGAGCCAACTGCTGAATAAGTAAGGCTTCAAATTTGGAAAATTTGTTGACAAGATCTTCAGAAGAAAGTAAAGAAGACGAAGCAGGTGTATAAGATAAAGCTCTAAGCTCCAATAGCATTGAGAAAACCTCCATGAAATTTTTATTCTCAATTGTAGAAAGTTGAGTAATTTGAGGACTCAAACTTTTATACAACTTCGCGAATTTAGTAACAGCATCGCAAATGATATCCACCTTTTGATTTAGAGATGCAAATTTAGTATAAACATTTGCAATCTCTTTCTCCATATCTTGGCGCAATTCTTGGAGTTTATAATTGACATCTTCTCTCACCTTCTTCACATATTGAATAAACAGAATATATCTTTCCTACGCAGTTGACTTTAACGACTTCAGATCACCATTAAATTTAGATTTATGAACATTGAATCTCAACTCATTATTCTGATCACAAATGTCAATTTTCTCAAGAAGACGAGACTCAGAATCTTTAATCATTCCAGACACTTTCGAAGAAAGCCTCCCTTTAATCATGTTCAGCATACCATCGACTTCAAGACTTGTTACGGAATTTCCTCCCCCAAGATCTACCTGAGACTAAAGAATTGAATTGAGTTTGGTATTTATTATCTTGAACTGTTTCATTGTCATTAGCATATGATCTGGAAAGTATGTCTCTTCTTCATCAAACTCTAAATTTTCAAAGGTTTCGCTAAAACCTTCGGACTCGTGTTCTGTTTCCATGAAAGAAGAATCTTTGATTGGAGAAGTAGTGGTAGGTGGATTAGTTTATTGTGAAGAAAACAAAGATGTGAATGGTTGTTGAATAATAGTTGAAAACGTAGGAGAATCGGTTGTGGATGTTGTTGGAATGATAGGTGTAACCTGTGAAGATAAAGAAATAGTTGTGTCTGGAGTAATATCCGAAGATTTACTTTTTTCAGCGACATGCGAAGCATCCTCACCCATTGTGACACTTGCATCCATATTAGATATGTTTACAATAATGTCAGAAGTTTGTGCCTCCACAGAAACTGTCTTGGCAAACAAAAATTCAGGTGGTATTACATTATCTTTTTGAAGATCAGCTTTTGGTGTCTCTGGAATGGTTTCAGTTTCATCAGCTGTAGATTTGGATGAAATAACCACTCTTCCCTTCTTTTTCTTTTTTGAAATATGTTTGGCCATGTCTGTTTCCCTTCTTTTCTTTGAATACGGTGATGTAGGGGCAGGAATCTCACGAAAGATGACTCCATGATGCAAAACCTGCGGTTTACGAACAACATTGGTTAAAGGTGAACGAATCTTGTGCTTAGACTTCATCTTGATTCATTGAAAAACTCCAGTCTTCGAAGGAATAATTTCCTTTTGAGTGGAAGGTGTGTCAGCAATAACAACTTCTGGTTGGATTGGATCAGGCTCTGAGATTGGTACTTTCTTCGGACTCTTTGCCGATGTAGATTCTTTAACAGATTTTGTTGAAGATTCAAAAACAACCTTCTTCGAACATTTTGATTTCTTCTCTTTCTCTCTAGCTAATAGAACCCTGTTTTCAATAGAACTATCAATGGTTTGCCAATAAGTAATAAGAACGGTGTTAGTGGGATCAACTCTCTTCAGCATAGCATCCACAATGCGAGCAATAAATGGGAATTCATCTGTATCGTCAGCTGCATCCTTCGGACAACTATATATATAAAACATTGCCTTTTCTTCCTCTATTGGTACCAAAATTCCTTCTTTCTCATAAAAATACTATAACATCAAGCTCCAATAACGGGCACACGAAATGCCATGAATATCATTCGTGTTCTCTATACTTTTCAAGAACTCCTTCCATAACTGAGTAGAATCGACCTGAAGATCGTAGTATAGACCTGAAACAATTGCATAAACTTCCATCCGCCCTTTATCCAACCGAACAGTTCTTCAGTCAGGCATCTAAGAAAAATTCCGAACAAGAAATTCCATACACTCAGAAGTTCTGACTTCTTGAAATCACTAATCTTTGTCAACTGGGGTTGATGACCCATTTCATTGAACATATGGATGATTTGTGGGAATGTAAAAGAGATGTATGGTGGAGAATTAGGTATCTCAAGAATTTGGCAGAAAAGCTTCTTGGAAAGTCTAACCTTCTTATCAGTCACCAGATTAAACAATACTGAATCCAAGGCTTTAGAGTAAGTTGCTGTTGATCCCGCTTAAGACAACCACGAGAGAGGAACAGAAAATGAGTTGAACATGGCTTTTGATAGAACGAAACTTTTTAGAGAAACAACAAGCATTTTTAGTTCTTCGGAATAGTAAGATACGTTGGCTTCAACTTGATAATTTGTTCCTTGAATCTTCATGATCGGCAATGAAGTTACATTGTCAGTGGTATGAGACAAAGTTGCATTAGGATTAGCAGTCGCCATTGCTAGGGTTTGAGAGTTGTATGTTGTAACAACGCAAATTTTCAAACAAAATTTTCATTTAAAATAAAGTGATTTTATTCAATTGATTATAAATGTTCTAAGTTTCATATCAAAATACAATCATAAAACCCCCAAGATCTCAAAATAACAATAGTGTGTACGCGTCACGCCGGCACCTTCCCACGGTCCTCGCTAGTACCTGAAATACATACACAACAACTTGTAAGCATAAATGCTTAGTGAGTTCCCCAATATACGACTTACACATATACGCCTTTCCAGGCCCTGACCTTCCGGTCTACAACACAACGCCTTCCGGCCCGTATCATAATCGCCTTCCGGCCCATAACATATTGCCTTCCGACCCATAACATGTTGCCTTCCGGCCCATAACATATTGCCTTCCGGCCCATAAACATACACAGCACATAATACATTTATCCTAACACATATAGCACATATATCATATATCATACCTGACCTTGCTGTCACATAACATTTTGCCTTCCGGCCCACATAAAGATACATTACACGCATAGAAACTACCTTTCCATTTATAGCACGTATAACACATATCATATCCGACCTTCCGGTCACACAGTCAAACCCTTCCGGGTACAGTATAGTGAGAAGACTCACCTCGTGGATAATGAAAACTAGCGACTCCTGAAATCACTCGCACTCGATCCGCCGAGTTGCAGAATCCCTATAATATCATATACCCCTTATTAATACTTTTATCTTTCAAGACAACTGACCCTAAGAAATTACATGTAGGTCAACTCTGGTCAACGGTCAACGGTCAACTTGACTGGACTCGGCGAGTGCAATGGTGACTCGGCGAGTCTAGATGTCCTCCCCAATTCCCTGATGTTCCCTTTCTACTCGTCAAGTATCTCTCTTGGATCGACCAGATCCTCGTGGAAGAATCGCGGGGCCACCCCGACTCCACTCGCCGAGTCTGAAGAACAGCTCGATGAGTCCCAGACAATCTCCAAGCTACTCGCCGAGTCTGTTCATTGGACTCGGCGAGTCCATGCCATGCAGTCGATCAAACTGCTTCCTGAGATAAGTATTGTCCCGAAATACACAAGCATGGGACCTTCTGGACCTCTAAAGGTCCTAATACAGGGTTATAGTCGTTTGGGTAACAAGGTAACAATCAATCTAATCACCAAATGGGTTCCATAAACCCTAAATCCATGCACACATCAACATAACAGAAATGATCCGAAATATTACCTGAATAACGCACTCTCTGTGTACCCAATCCTCAGAACTCGATTCCCTTGCTGTTCCTTTAGCCAAAACTCTTCTCCTCCTTGCACAACAACTTCTTCAAGGTCACCAATAGCCTTCAATCTTGTTCTAGATGCCCACAACCGATTAGGGTTCTTCTCAGTCGACTAAAGACGGACAATGACGGCCTATAAGTGCATTATATACGTTCCAAAACCAAACGGCTAGGGTTTCCGCTGAACAGCGCAGACTCGCCGAGTCCATATCTGGACTCGTCGAGTCCAGTCGCGAACCCGCGATCAAGTCTGTGGTCCTACTCGGCGAGTCTGGCTCCAACTCGCCGAGTCCCCTCCTAAAACACCCCACAACAATATTATAACAATACCTGAAATTCCGGGCTGTTACAACTCTCCCCCACTAGGACTAGACTTCACCCTCGAAGTCTCACTCTGCAAATAACTCCGGATGTTGCTCCCGCATCTCACGCTCCGGCTCCCAAGTCATCTCCGATCCTTTCCGGTGTTGCCACTGAACCAACACCAGAGGTACCTCCTTGTTCCTCAGAACCTTGATCTTCCGATCCCTGATAGGTACTGGTCTCTCGGCGTAATTCAAGCTCGCATCCACCTAAATATCCTCTAATGGAACCACTGCCGATTCATCGGCTATACACTTCCTTAACTGCGATACGTGAAAGGTATTGTGGATCTGTCCCAACTCTGCTGGCAACTCCAACCGATAAGCTACCCGGCCTACCCTTGCAATCACACGAAATGGACCTATGAACCGGGGCCCCAACTTGCCCCTCTTCCTGAACCGGATCACTCCTTTCCAAGGAGAAACCTTCAGGAGAACGAAGTCGCCAACCTGAAATTCAAGCTCGGACCGGCGTCTGTCCGCATAACTCTTCTGTCGGCTCTGGGCGGTCAATAACCTCTGTCTAACCTGCTGAATCTGTTCTGTCGTCTGAAGTACGATCTCTGTACTGCCCATCACTCCCTGTCCCACCTCTCCCCAGCAAATGGGGGTCCGACACCTCCTACCATACAACAACTCAAAAGGTGGCATACCAATGCTCGAATGATGGCTATTGTTGTAGGAAAACTCTGCCAAGGGTAAATGTGCATCCCAGCTACCCCCGAAGTCTAACACACACGCTCGAAGCATGTCCTCCAATGTCTGAATCGTCCGCTCGCTCTGACCGTCTGTCTGGGGATGGTATGCGGTACTAAAATGCAGTTTAGTACCCAGTTCCTCATGGAATTTCTTCCAGAATCTGGAAGTGAAGCGTACATCACGATCCGAAACAATCGAGATTGGCACTCCATGCCGAGATACTATTTCCCTCACGTATATCTCCGCCAACTTCTCCGCTGATGAACTCTCGCTGATGGCAAGGAAATGTGCACTCTTCGTCAACCTATCCACAATCACCCAAATTGCATCGACTCCCCTGGCAGTTCTCGGCAATTTGGTGATGAAATCCATAGTAATCTGTTCCCACTTCCACTCAGGAATCTCCAAAGGCTGCAACTTGCCATGCGGTCTCTGGTGCTCGGCCTTAACCCTACGGCAGGTCAAACACCTCTCAACGAACTAGGTGACGTCTCTCTTCATACAAGGCCACCGGTATTCCTTCCTCAGGTCCAAATACATCTTTGTAGCACCGGGATGGATCGAGAATTTCGATCTGTGAGCCTCTTCCATCAAAGTAGCACGCGTACCACCCACGAACGGTACCCAAATCCGACCCTGAAACGTCAGAAGTCCTCGTCCATCCTTAACGAACTCTGAGATTAACCCAACGACCCGCTCTTTCTTCTGCATCTCGGATCTCACAGCCTCGGCCTGTGCCCCACGAATAGCATCCAATACCGGAGTCATCACCGTCAGTCTCAAACATACATCTCGCAATGGAGTGCTCTTCGCCCTGCGGCTCAATGCATCAGCTACCACATTAGCCTTGCCCGGGTGGTATAGGATTTCACAGTCATAATCCTTGACCACATCCAACCATCTCCTCTGACGCATATTTAGGTTGGGTTGATCCATCAAATACTTCAAACTCTTATGGTCCGTATATATCGTACATCGAACCCCATACAGGTAGTGATGCCAAATCTTGAGAGCGAACACTACTGCCCCCAACTCTAAGTCATGCGTGGGATATCTCGCCTCGTGAGGCTTTAGCTGCCTCGATGCATAAGCTATCACATGACCTCTCTGCATCAATACTGCACCCAGTCCCGAAATCGATGCGTCACAATATACGACAAAATCTTCCATCCTTTCCGGGAGAGCTAATACCGGGGCTTCGCACAGTCTCTGGCGAAGTGTCTCGAAGGAAGTCTGTTTCTCGGGTCCCCATGAGAATGTAACACCCTTCCGGGTCAATCTGGTGAACGGTACTGCGATCTTGGAGAAGTCCCTAATAAACCTCCGATAGTACCCCGCCAACCCAAGGAAACTCCTGATCTCGGAAGGTGACTTCGGTACCTCCCAATTCATCACTGCCTCAACCTTGGCCGGATCGACCAATATCCCTGCCTGATTAATAACATGTCCAAGAAATTGGACCTCCCGCAACCAGAAGTCACATTTGGAGAATTTTGCATATAGCTTTTCCGTCCTCAGTACTTCAAGGACCTCCCTCAAGTGTCCCTC